TGCTCGAGTCTGGCACCCCACTTTTGTAAAGAGAATGGCTTTGGGACCATTGTGTGGGGTTGTAGAAGTTACTACTTTCACCTAAGGAAGAGCCAGAAGATAGCATCTGAATTCATTGGAGGATTGGGGTGAAGGCAGAGATCCTGGGTGATGTGAGACGGGGCGCTTTCCTTCTGACCAATGGGGTGCAGTGGAAAGGTGCTAATTTCTTAACATAATTTCAGAAATCACCCAGCAGCCAGGGCAAACAGGATGAAAAGAGTCAGAAAACCACATCAGAAGAGAAATGGTTTGGAGAATCTGGAATATTTAGCTAAATAAAAGAGACCTCCCTGAAGAGACAGGACACCGTGGCAGGACATTTCACTGTTGAAAGGGCTACTTGGAGAAAGTGAAATAGCACTTGGTGAAGGCAGAGCTATAGACACTGGGTAAAAGTTATAAAAGAGGCAGATTTGTGCTCAGTGGAAGGAAGAAATGTCTTCTAAACGATCTTGCTGAAATATCGGACAAGTCTCCTTTTATTTAAAGGTGGCAATAATAGATCAACAGTACTGCATATTCCCGTACATTAGGTTAATAAAATTGCTGCAGTTCACCCATTCTTGACCTATGAAGACGGTCTAAGTCCCTAAAGTTTGAGTAATTTCCAGGGCTTTCACAGACCTGTTCTGCCTCATCTCTCTACTACCAGGATTTCTTCCTACTCTCCTCTTTGTGCTTTCTAGACATACCCTTTGCTGACCCTTGAGCCCCTTTCTGCCTCAGAGCCTTTTCAGTTGCTGTTCCCTCTGCTTTCCCCTAGACAGAAGCCCCGAGTACTTGTCCTCTATCCTAGAGGCTTTCTCTGATTGTGTAGCATGAAAACAGCACAACAGCCCTCCTCCCCTGTATCCTCTGTGCTCTGACCCAGGTCTCTCCTTAGCCCTTCCTGTTCTTTGTCATTCATGTATTTGTTTATTGTCTATCTCCTGTCACTTCAGTGTAGTCCCATGAGGGCAGGGACTTTGTTTTGTCCCCTGCTTTCTTTCTAGGGTTTCGAATTGTGTCAGGTGCATATAAATGTTTGATAAATATTTTTGGCATAAATGAAAGAATGATTATCAATAAGGAAACCAAGGCCTAGAGAGATGAAAGGATTTTGCCAAAGCCATGAAGCTGGTGCCCTGGAAAGCTGAGGTGAAGTCCAAACATTCCAATGTCAGAGCCTGGATTCTGTGGAAATCCACCCTGCTTTTGCATCCCAATGGTCTCTGAGGCTGAACAGAGGCTCCTGCACTGGGTCCATTATTGGCCAGAGGTGTCTTCAATTTTTGAAGCTATTTTCCACGGGTAATCATCCATTTTAGTGAGAGAATCACAGGGGCTCTGAAAAAGACAGGTTTTAGTCATCCCCTAAGGCTATAGCATGACTCTGGGGAGCCAGACTGCTAGGATACTGTTTGAAAAGACATCCTCACCAAGTGTCTGTTTTGGGGGGGAGGTGGAACATGAATCTGAGCCTCAAAATATGAAATATTCCCCAGTTTGCAAATGAACGGAGGATGTGTTTGTACAGCGACCACCAAGAGAGCAGTATCATGTGGAGGGGAACAAAAAGACAAAGCTCCACGGTTCAGTTCTGGGAGTTGATGACTCTGCTCACCCCAGGAGGTTGCCTCTGTGCAGCTAATGATGATGAGCAGAGGAAATAGGGAAGTGAGTGCCCATGAAGGAAGTGATCCTTCTCCTCCCTCAAGTTCCTGCTCTGAGAGAGCTGTGTCCATCAGGCCCAGCCAGATGGACTCATTCCCCTGTCAGGTGATTGCTAAAGCAGTATCTGTGTCAGTGACAGGCCACGTGGCTTGGGAGCAAGAGTGAGGGTGGGGTGGTTGGGGTGCCACAGTGTGAACAGATCAGCAGCTAGCAGTTTACAAAGGGCTTTTTTCTACCTCATCTCATTTAGTGTTCACAGAATTTTACACATCGATGAGGTGGACCAGAAAATGTGCTGACCTGTAATGAGTCACAGAGTTACATGCGGTATTGCTGGGTTGAATTTTAACCTAAACTTCTCATTCCAGAGTCTGGGTTCTCTTCTTAACTCCTGCGAGATTGTTCACATCTCTCCTGAGGTCTCTGAGGAAAAGAGCAAATGAAGAAAAGGGACAGACACCCACTGCTCCCTTCCTCTAGATGAACAAAAGTGAACGTTCACTGAGGGCTTAAGAGCTAGAAATCTACTAAGCACTTTCTGTGGGATAGAAACTAATAGCAATCTATTTCACAGAAAAGAGAGGCGCAGAGATGTAATTTGCCCAAGGAACAAATAGTAAAGGGAGGATTTTAACACTCTCTATGATCATCAGGGTAAGATACACTATGTTGCAGTAGCAAATAACCACAAAATGTCCACTTGGGAGCTGGGGATATAGCTCAGTGGTAGAGAGCTCCAGCTTGGTATGGCCCTGAATTTTATTACCAGCAATACCCCCTCCAGAATCAAACATTCACTTCTCTCTCAGGTTATATGATCATTGGGCATGGTAGCACACTCTTGCAATCCCAAGCACTGTGGGAAGCAGAGGCAGGAAGATCACAACTTTGAGGCTAGTTTGGGCAACTGAGCATCTTAGCAAGACTTTGTTTCAAAGAACAAAAATAACTGCGTTTGGAGCTCAATGAGAAGGTCCTGAGTTCAATCCTCAGCACTGATTAAAAAAAAAAAATTACACAATCATCGTAGTTGGCACAGGACAGCTATTCAGGGACCCAGGCAGAGTGCTTCACTATTGAAAAACTGCACCATCTGGAATCAATGTGCTCCAGTCGCTATGGCAGGGGAAGAAAAATTTACAAAGCTCCACAGTGGCAATTAAGTACTTTAGTTTGGAAGTGACATGTCACTTCTGTTTAAAGCACATTGGCCAAAAGTATCTGGTTGCACTGTCCAGCAGCCAAGGAACTCAGAGCCCAGCATCAGTATGCACTGACCGTGCCTGTGAGCTTGGCCATAACCTGAGTACACGCTTTTCACCACCACGCTGTGCTACTACATGGGCTCCTTCCCCTAAGTTAAATCTCCTGGCCCCTTGTTAGATGACTCCATTCCTTCTTCCCTTCCCTCCATCCTCGCACTCCTCTAGCACACTTATCAACTCCACATCAGGCCCTGTGCTGGGGCACAGGAACCTGCAATGAGTGACGCAGAAGCCTTCAAGTATCCTTCTTCTAAAAAGGAAAGTGCTAATGTGACATATGGAACAGAAAATTGGAATGCGAGATCAGAACGGGACTTCCCAGGAGGATGGAAAGGTGGGTAAAGAAGAATCAGGCCAGCCTTCATAGAAGAAGAGAATCAGTTGAGCTGGATCTGAAAGATAAGCAAAAGTGGAATGCACAGGAAGGGAAAAGAACACAGAAGCAGGAAAATCCAGGGCCATATTGCTAACAAGGGCTCAGTGCATTTGATTGAACTGAACTGAGGGTGTGTGGAAGACACTACCACATGATTTGATCCTTTGGAAGCGTGGTTTTGCATCAGATCCTGGAGGACTCTGACCTTCATACTTTGGCATGAAAGGGTAGACAGGAGCATCTGAACTTAGGCCAAGAACTCCTGCTGTGGGGTGAAGATCTCTTAAGGAAGGAATGGTTTTTAAAGTTTCCCAGTGCTTTGGCGATAAAAGGGCAAGGTCATTGTTTCTTGTCTTCATGGCAGAGGTAACTTAAAGAGCAGGCTGAGGTCTTGACATAGGACAAAGCCTAATACACTGGAAAAGGTTCTTATGGCCTTTCTGTGGCAAAGAAGAAAGTAAATTTAAGCCTGGGGGCTCTCAAGTGGTACCCTACATAGAGATTTATCCCAGAGCACCTGCTGGCCCTGCACTAAGCTCTGGGAATGCAGTGATAAATACCAGGGTCTATGGCCATTCCACACTGAACATGTCTGATTTTAGATGGTTGATGAATAAAACGTAGCCCAAGTGGGAACACAGCACAGGCAGCAGCACACAAGCAGACACTCACCAGCACCACTTGGCCTAATAATTCACCTGGGCTTCCATGCTCACAAAACACCCTGTTCCCTGCCCTATGCTGTTCTTTTGTCTCTACCCCATCAACAGCAACCTCTGCCAGTACAGCACTGGTGCTGTACTGATGCTGTTGGAACTAGAGGTAGCTCCAATCTGCACTGGGTTTCTCATTCCCATAGAGATCACCCTCACTTTGGGCTACCTGCATCCTGGCCTCATGCCTCTGGATTCTAGTGCCCTGCACCTGTCCCTTGACCACTCCTGAGATGAAACTGCCAATCTTCTTGGAAACAGCTTGAATTTTCTCTCTCTCACTTCTCCCATCCCATGTCTGTCTCTGGCTGTGTTCTGTGAACTGTGTATACGACCGTGTGAATTCTCTTACCTGTGGTTATTAACTGGATGAGAAAAGCAGCATGCCCTTGTATTTCTCTGATTTATAATTTTCAAAATCACTATCTGAAAATAGTGTCATAAAATAAGCAAGATGAAATCCCAGCAAACCCAACTCACTCAGAGCATTCAGGCTTTCTCAGATTGTCCTGCTCCCTTATTGTTTTACTACAAGTTCAAAAGATTGGAGACCTGTTCACTTTGTTTCCACCCTGCCCCCAACAAAACCAGCCCAACCTGCACCCTACTCCCCCTGCCAATCCTTTGGGATCAGGATCCCAGATCCCAAGCCTCCCCCTGTCCCATCCTCATAATCAGATTTGGCACAGAACGTTTGGAGGCTGTGCTCCCAAAGCACAGAGCTCCTGGCTGTTGGTCCCTGAACGGCTGTAATTGGCTTCAGGGTTCTGCAACAGTCACAGACCGGTGAATAAAATGTGTTTGCCACACAGCCTGGAGGTGACACAAATATACAGTTTCTGGGAACTCAATCCCAAGCCTATCTTTTCCACAAACCTAGACCATTTTACCTCAAACCTGGCAGCCTTTTAAGTAACCAGCTGCTCATGTATTAAATAACACAGAACATGGCACTTTTTTAAACATTTATATTTATATATATAAAAAATTAAATATATATATAATATATAGCGTGTTTGAGACTAAAAATATAGTACATAATATTTTAAAAAAAAGAAAAGAAAGGCAGAATAGGAAAAGGTGTGAGGGACACACAGATACACATTGCTAAAAATCTACAATGGTTTGTCCTAACAAAAATAGTATTTTTTTCTCTCCTTTTGTTTACCATCATGGATCCATTTATCATTGAGATTGGGTGGAGAAAATTCAATTGGAACCAGAAACAGTCCCAGGAATGGCTGGGGTAAAAAATGTGACCACAGAGAGCCAGGGCCTCTTCCTGGTGAAAGCAGAGGCAGCAAAATCTTCTGGGTCACTACTGTTAAAAAGATGGTGCCAAGAGTTTAATTGCCATCTCCCCCAGGAGCCAGGTGTTCCCAGGGGCTGCGTCTGAAGAGCTCTAGAAACCAGGAAAAAAGTCCTGGCCCACCACCTCACAAAGACCAGTGGGTAGGGCCATCCAAAAGCCAAGGATGGCCAACAACACACTCATAGGAATGAGCTCTATGCATCTGGAGTTATTATTACTAAGGGCAGGCTTGTACCCAAATTGCCCAATATGGCCTGCAACTTCTATGCAATTATTTCTCCAGGGACTGGGCCTGGAGCTGCCTCACAGTGATGCAAGAAAATACGATTCTGCTTCCCATCTCCCAGATATTTCAAGCCACATGTCTCAGTCCTTTCCACTAGCCCAGAGGTGCAGCATCAGGACCAAGCTGCCAAAGGTGAGCCAATGCCACTCAGAAAGAGTCAGGCCTGGAGGAGAGGAGAAACACCTTGGGAGGATGAGGGGATGCAGGGAGAAAGAATGGGACATTTAGATGCTAATTTTATGTTTTTCACAAAAATAAATGACATTACTTGGTTTGTGCACTTCAATGTCACCTCTTCACCAGACTCACCAAGGTCAGGAGCTTCACTATTTCTTTCTGGTGATTCCCCAACTTGCAGATTGGCCTACAACGGCATAGGGCAGTGACATGGCTCAGATCACACAGCTTTAACATGGTAGATAGCCAAGATTTCAGAGTCTAGTGTGGCCTTGGGAGTTCCAAGTTCAGCTGAAGGGACAGAACTGCCTGTGTCACAGAATAAGACAAGGGTTGAGCCAGTTCACTCCCAGTGGGTCTCAGTTTCATGTGTACCTTTTCAAATTCCAATGGCCCAACACTGCCTTGTACTTGGGTCAAGGGTGCAAACAGCCCATTGGATTCCATTTTAAGAAGCCCAGGTCTGGTGTCTCCTGGTAGAACTCCCACAGGTTAGCAACACAGCACAAGGACAAGAAGTTCTGCTGCAGTGTGCTTCATCTGGAGGTAGCAACTGCTGGGATTAGGAGACAACACATCACTTAGAGAGCAGGTCTGTTTTCATTTCAGGCTAGACATTTTTGAGAGGCCAGCACTACTCCTTTCTCATTTAGGATGGATTTTGCTTCACACATACTCTGTTGGACTCTTGAGGGAACTAGGGTATAAGTCAGCTCTCCACAAGCAAAGAGGTCACAGTTTACCCAATCACAAGAATCTCTTAGAGAACCATAGCTTATGTCAAAACCTCTGTGCCCCATCACCGTCCGTCCACGAGCTGCATGTCCAATGTGCTCCCTCACTTCTGGTTCAAGGTTCCTTGAACTGCTGGCTTTGCCTTGATGAGAAGGGTGAATTGTCCCTGGGGCAGATTATTTTGAGGACCAGGTGGAAGGTAGCTGTTTACCCCCCCCCCCATAGGTGCTGACAATCTGGATGCGTAAAGGGAACTCATTACGCCCTGCCTTGGCCCCAGACACCTTTGCAAACCTATCAGAACTGAGGTGGGGAGCAGCACATACAACCTGATTCCATCTAGGTTATAAGTGGCTGTTTGTAAAGGGGCTCCTGGTGGAAATTAACACACTTCTGATAAGACAGAAAAGCCTGTAGGAAAAGCTTCTTCCAATAGGAAAGAACCCCTCAGCTCCCCAGCCCCGACTCTGCTTACTTACTGCTCCAGACTCCTTGAAACAGAAGAGCAGCCCCCTACCACACCTCCCCAAATGGATACAGTGAAAGCACGTTCTAGGTTTGGGCAAGCCTTTCCCTTATTTTACAGGCCGGTAAATTACAGGAAATGAATCTAGGGGGTTGAGCCAAAGTCACTCAGTAATAAGCAGCTTCAGAACACCTTCTTAGCCTCGTTTCTTCCACTAAGATACTATCATCAGAAGTGACACCAAGTACTGAGGCACCACCATGCTGGAAGACAACAGCCTCACAGCAGACCTCTGTGATCAAGGGCACCTTGAACTACCACAGGCAGGTCCCACCTCAATTCTGACTGCAGTGTATAATTTGCAGAGGGTGGAGTCTGCCCGAATTGCTGACATTTCCTGAGCCTTGCACAGTGCACCACCTACCAGGTCCCAGCACAAGTGTAGCGGGACAAAGAACAGAACCGGCTCTCTATCAGACTTCCTGTCCCAGCAATTCTCCCCCGGTGCTAGGTGCCAGCTGAGTTACTCAGTGACTTTGGGGCCTTTTCTCCATTTTTTCAACAGAAGAGAGGGACTACTTCAACCAACCAGAGGCAAATAAAAGAATGTGGCCAGATCCAAAACAAATGAGTATTTTGGAGGGTAACTGTTCGAAAAGCCACCAGATTTAGACCTAATGTGTTTGGATTACCCATGGCTTTCTGGAGTCCATGAAAATAAAAATAGCATGTGACTATCTGCCCAGGAACCTGTACTCTTTAACAGACCATGTTGTTGAACTCCACTGAAAGGACTCTGCAGGAAGGCATGATTTCCCAGGGATTGACTACAGCTGGAATACTGTAAAGGCCCAGATAGGGCCCACTGCGTGGAGGGGAGGGGGATGTGGTGGCTGCCTGCCAGGCTGGAATTGAAGCTATATATTTTCTGGGTATTACCTGGTCCTTACTAGCAAGGGGATGGCTGAGAATGTCATCCCACAGACCCATCTGTAACAGTGGTGATGGCCCGTGGCTGATGAGCATGTAACTCATTAAAGCGAACATGACTAATGAATGGTGACCAAAAAGAAAGGGCAAGGAGCATTCTGGGAATTGTACCGAGGCCCCTTCCCCTAGGGTTGGCAGCCATGAGAAGAGCTGACTCCAAATGTGGCTTCTTGGGGAGGTGAGGACAGGGCAGGGGCACAGGTTCTCTTTGGAGTGCCCACTCTTTGGTCAGAAGGTGGCAGCTGAGACGTGATGGCTGGAATATGCGTGGGCACATGTGCATGTGGGTGTGGGACAGGGAAGCACGGGCATGGAATGCCTGTGGTTCTCCTCCAGCTACCTTCTCTGTCAGGGCCATTTCCAGCACTCTCCCCTGGGTCTCTCCTTTAACACTGTAACACTTGGCAGCCTGTCTGAGGCTCACAAGTACTTGCTCCCCTACATGACCGCCAACAAGCATGTTCATCCAAAGCATGACACTCAAGGCACTGAAAGTGGATGAAATATGATTGGTCCAAAAAGAAAAAGACACTTACACCAAAACCTGTCTGGAGAGAATACCTCTCAGGCCTTCTGGTGGGCTCTGAACAGACAGGGAGCCTAGGATAGGACAGTAAAGGCCTCAGTCCCCTTCCTACCCAAATGGAGCCCACCTGTCCATGTGACAGGTCTCACCACCTGAATGTGTGCAATGGATTCAAAGTGCTTAGACACAAGGGGATGATAGGAACCTGGTGAAGAACAGAAGGCCCCTTTCCTTTCCACTGGGATTTGTATTTGGGTAGGGGAATGCCTACAGCTTTTCTTTCCAAGTGAGGTTTTCATTGTTTTTGTTGCCTTTGAAAAACAGCCCATCTACCCCCAACCTCCCTCAAAAGGCGCAAGAGCTAAAAAGTCAGGAAGTTGGGCACATTACGGAAAGGAGGGTGCTGGAGTGGCTCCCTCTAGTGTTGATGCTGGGAGCTGTGGTTGCAGCACACAGTGGTCCATCAGGGAATGGCCGTCCTCCACCACAATCCTGGCTTATTTGGCTGGCCCAGCACAGAAGAGGAAAAGGGGCAGTGCTACTGGTGATTTCTGGATCCCTCTGGACAGACAGATGTCCACAGTGGCACCCGAGTGACTGGCATTTTGACCCGAGCTGAAGTTAGTGCAAGGACTGTTCTGTAGACAAGAGCTAAACTAAACCCAAAGTCTCTTCTGCAGTCCTCTGAGAAGGGAGAGATGCACCCAGGGCATGAACGCAGACAACAGAGAAAAGGACCAGTTGAGCTGTCCTACCTTCCGTCTGCCTATGCCAAAGCCACCCAATCTCATACTTCACACAGCCTGGGCCAAAGCCTGCCCACCTGTGTATACTCCTCTGTCCACTTACAGGAGACCAGAGAGATAGAGTAGAAAGGGAATGCTAAAAAGTGCCCCCTCTGCTCTCCCCAACCTTCATTTTCCCTGTCCCCATGCTGGGGTCAGGCAAGAGCACAGGTCAGAAGAGACACCTCCTCCCAAAGAAGAGGAAGGGCAGGCCCAGGCAGCTGGGGCATGCACAGAGCACCATCCTCGGGATGGGGTGTTTCTGGGAGACCTGCTCCACACCTGTCTCGGCAGGAGGAGGAAGGCTGGTCCAGGAAGGGAACAAGGAGCAATGCCCCTGAATATCAGGGAACAGCCGTGAAAGCCTTCTCCTCTGCCCCGCAGAGACCCCCAGCAGTCTCTGGCCCCTACACATGAGTCTGCATGCGCTGCTGGAACCGCTGGCCGTAGTCCGAGTGCTGGGAGGTGTAGGAGAACCGTGTGGCTGTGGCGTACTTGCCAATGGGGTCGTACGCCTCATATGGGGTCCGCTCCAGACCTGAGGGGGGGGCCTGGGGGTAGCCCAGTCGATAGGTGGGGTACCCAGCTGCCCCGGGAAAGGGATGGGAGTTGAACTTCTCATAGTTCTCATAGGACAACTGGCTGGTGGTGTCGGTGCCGGCTGGGGCAGCTGGGCCAGGGGGTGCGGACTCAGGGCCGTAGTCAGAGGCAGGGGCCCGGCTGTACGTGTTGAGCTGAGCATAGCCACTGGAGTGGGACAGACGGGATGAGGGGCGACCATCAAAGCGGGCAGGGCCAGGGGTTCGGTAGTCAGCATACAGCACTGCCCTGGAAGATGGGCGGTCTTCGTGGGCACGCACATTGTAGTAGCCGTTGGTGGGGTCCTGGGGGACAGTGAGAGAGGAGGATGGAGGCAGGAGCTTCCCCTGGAGGGGACCAGGTCCTGTCATCCATCCAGGGACCCCCTCTAGTTGCCCCTGTCCCCATCCAGTCCCACTCTGTCTCCTCTTATAACTCCTCCCCGTCTGTCCTCTTCCCCACACAGCAGCCCCTTTTCTGACCTTCATCTCGTATTCTTCCCGGGTGTCGATGGTGTCACAGCGCAGGTCCTGTTTCAGATCCACATCATCCTTAAAGGACTGCAGAGCAGCAGGAGTGGGTATGAGGAGATAGGGTCTCTGTTCTTATCCCCCCTCTCTAACCCTGTCCCCATGCCCAGGAGCCACCTGCTAAGGCAAGGGTCTTGGGTCAAGGGCAGATTGAGTGTCCTCTCCCAGCGGAGGCTCTGGGATGTGGTGGAAGAGCCCACAGACCTGGGTTCCAGAACTCATTTTGTTTCTAATACACAGTGCAACTTTTGTAGTTGCTGCTGCTATGTGGGACCAGGAAACATCTAGGGAAGGCAGGGGTCCTCGACCCCTGGCCATGGACCACTACTGGTCTGCGGTGTGTTAGCATCTGGGCTGCAGCAGGGCAGCAAGCAAAGTTTTATCTGTATTTATAGCTGCTTTGCATCACTCAGTACTGCACTCAAAGCTCCACATCCTGTCAGATCGGCAGTGGAGGCATTAGATTCCCATAGCAATGCAACTCCTACTGTGAACTGGGCATGGATGGGATCTAGGTTGTGTGCACCTTTGTACTGTACCCCTCTCTACTGCCGGAAAAATCATCTTCCACAAAACTGGAGCCTGATGCCAAAAAGGATGGGGATCACTGGCCTAAGCAGATGGAGTGGGGTAGATAAAGTGAAGGAAGGCTAAGAAGCCCCCCAGCCACTCCCACCTCACATCTCTGCTGAAGGGAAATCAGCCCAGCACAGTGAATGTGAGTACGGAGAGTGTACATATGCATATGTTGGGTGTGTGTGAGACGTGTCTGTCTGTGGCAGGACCAGGGCCAGCTAAGGGAGGGAGAAGGGAATGACAGCAGTTATTAGAAGCTAGGTGGGGTTGGGCCTAAGAGCCAAAGGGCACCAGGAACAGGAGGAGCTGCACCCTCACCGAGTAGATGGCCTTCATGACCCGCGTTGCTGTAGAGACGCTGGCGGTATCATCCTCCCGGTCAGAATGCATGGTGAGTGGCTCCCGGTTCACTGTCTCCACTTTAATGTCCAGCTTCCTCAGGGTTACATCCTTGCGGCCTAGCACAGGGACATACAGCAGGGTCTGATGCTTTCTGCTGGCCCTGCTGTAGCTGCTTCCACCCCTACCTGCCCTCCCTGGGCTGAGGTGCTCAGCCACCACCCCTCACCCATGGCAGGCATTGCCTGCCGTGTGCACCGGAGGTGGTGTGGTGGGTGCTGCAGCTGCCAGGGGCCGGAACTCACTGCCTTTGCGGCGCCGATAGAGGAAGAACACCAAAGCGATGAAGAAGAAGATGAGCAGGATGCCCGCACCGATGGTGGCCCCAGCGATGATGCCCACAGGTAGCACCTCTTCCGATGGGGGAAGGAAAGGAGGGGAATGAGAATGGGGTCACACTGGGAATCTGAGCTCAGTGTTGCCTGAAGTCTTAGCAAAGAGCTACAGTGGCAACGCTGGATTTGTGCACAAGGCTAAGGGTTTGTTTTTTTTTTTTTTTTTTTTTTAATTTTGGAGACAGGGTCTTGCTAAGTGGCTCAGGCTGGCTTCAAACTCATGATCTTCCTGCCTCAGCCTCCTGAGTGCTGGAATTATAGGTGCACCAACATGTTCTGCTAAAGCTATGTTTTGACTGAGCTGGTGGCCTCTGTGGTTTAAGTCCAGTTGGTAATAAGAGAGGAAGGTCTGGACTGTGGCTGGATTAAGTCTGCCTCAGCTTAGGAATAGTTGAGGTCAGGATCACACCCATCCCTGCAGCTAAGACTGGCTTTGGCTGGGGCGTGTCTGTCTCGATTGGCCCAACTGCCCACGAAGCTTGGTTCCTCCTTCCTGGGCTGGGAGCTTGTTTGACGTCAGCTGTCTCTGAACTTCCCAACCTGTGTCCTAACCCCTCTTGCTGCCTTGCCCACCCACACTATGGTGCCTGCCCTCTGTACTTTCCACCAGGTCTCAGTCTTCCTTGGGCCCCTCTGCATCCCTGAGCTGAGAAGAAGCTCAGGAACCCTGCCTGTGCCTTCTCTCTCTTGGATTCAGGTCTTGCTTTATGGCTCTTCCCCTGAGATCCTTTCCTGTTATGCCCCTACAACTCTCTTCTCTCCCCACCATGCACCTCAACCTGAAAGCATCCTCTACTAATCCTAAAGGGCTGGCTTTTCCATGGCTTCCTGCTCTTCCTGGCAATGGTTAGGGCTCAAAACCCAAAACAAAAAAATAGCACTGTCTTTGTCGAGTGTCCCAACCATCAAGCCCTGCTGGAAGCACCTGAAGGAGAACACATGTCTGTCCAGTCAGATTGACATTTCTTAAAGAGGTGGGAGGAACCCAAACTTACTGAGCATCTACTATACGTCAGGCACCTTATAAATATTCTCTCAGTTAATCCTTACAACTCGATGAAGTAGGTAGCTGTTACTACACCTTTGTGCAGATCACTGTTGTCCTTCTGCATGGACAGGCTTCTACTCTGCACGTTCCCCTGCTAAGCTGAGAGTGTCTTGGGGGCTCGGCCTGCGTCTTGTTCACGGCTGCCCCTAGAGCCCTTTGTGCAGAGCCTGGCACAAGAAGATCCTCAAAAAACCTTAACAAAGTTAAAGTGAGCAAATTTCTCCCGCTGAGCACCAAGGCCAGCTTCTGGTGGGGAGGTGAAAGAGAGAGACTAAGAGAGAGAAGGATAGGGTGAGCTCTGCCCCTCTGAGCTTTGGCCCAGAGAGAAGAGGGAGTGTTTCATCCCCAGGATGCCCTGTGCTCCCGGCTGGGCACCCAGGATGGCCAGTCACCTTGCTCTACCAGCTGGATGATGGCAGTGCCCGGCCCGAAGCTGTTCCAGGCAGTGCAGTTGTAGTGGGTCTGGAAGTCAGCCTCCATGACGTTGTTGATGGTGAGAGTGGACAGCACTCCGCTGCCCGAGTTGGTCCTCTCCACCGTGTAGCGTTCCAGCGTCCCCGCCTCCAAGAAGTTCTCCTTCCATGCCCATGCCTGGAAAGGGGAGCAGGACGAAGTAAGTGAGGAACAGAAGGCAGATCCACAAGACCAGGTGTCCCTGATCCACACTGTCAAGGCACCCTCACCCCATGTGCCCTCTGCTGTATCCCTGTACCAAAACTATAGCCACACCAACTGCCTCAAGCCCTTGGCATTGACTCTACTCTAGGACGAGCCACACTGACCCAGGGACAGTATTGAAAAAGCAGACTAGTGAGATTTATGTTCTAGATGTGAATCTCCAGGGAGAAATCCAGGAATCTTTTCCTTTAAATGTGATCCCAGGTACTGTGCATGTAGCTAATTTAATGCACTGATACCTGGGGATACTGCATGTTGCACAGAAAATTTTGGGTTGGGACTCAAGAACCCTGGAGTCCAATCCCAGCTCTTTTCTCTTCCTGAGTTCCTATGTGGCCTCTTTTTTCCTTCTTTGGGTCTCAGTTTCTTCATCCATAAAATGAGAGACCCAGGTTAGCACTGGACAATGCTCACAGCTCTTCCCAGTCCTCAGGTACCTTTCACTAGCTCACACAGACCTGGATGGTTGGTTCTGGACACCTACGCATGGGCTCTTGTATGGGGCAGGAATGAGAGAAGTGCATCCCCCTGCATATCCTTATCATGCGCAGAGCACAGCCCAAGGAGGGGAGCAGCTGAGAACTGGCTCCTTTCCAGCGATCGGTCCTCCTAACTCTGCAGGGAAAGCCCCTGGGAGCCCAGCCGGCTGCTGCCCGGGCGGCCATGATAATGAAGTGTCCCTGGACAGCCCTGGAGTTAGCCAAACGGTCATTAAATGTGATGAGGGGTTTGACGGTTAATGGTCACGGAAAGAATTAATGGCTCATGGTGTGGGGGAGAGGAAAGAGGGGGGAGGAGAGATGGGAGGCTAGCAGGAAGCAGGCAGGAGAAAGGAGAGGAGAGCAGGGCAGGGTGGGAAGAGGAACTGAGGGGAGAGTAGGAGAGGAGAGAGCTGGCAAGAGCAAGAGAGAAGAAAAGGGAAGGAAAAATCGGGAGGGAGGTGAGGGAGGACAGCAACCATCCTGGCCAAGGGGACAGTGGAAGGGCGCTGATGGTGACCTGAATACCCAGTGCTTCTCTAGCTTCTTCACACCTGTTGCTACAGTTACTCTCACGATGACCCAGAAAGTTGTGGCCTCTGTTTTACAGATGAGGAAACTGACGTTCAAAACACCAGGTCATTTGCTAAAGGTGGTGGGGATTTGAACAGGCAAGGGGACAGAGGGACAGAAAGGCGCCTGACAAGGGTGGGGATGTGGAAGATATTAAGATGGAGTTAGTGAGAGGAGGAGGCCGGGCTAGGGCAGAGGTGCAGGCACTCACAATGCGGTCTGGGGGCGGTGTGCTCCCGATGAAGCACTCCACCTTGCCGCCATCACCCCTCACAGCGTACTGTACCGCTTCGCTGGAGATAATGGGGGGCCCTGTGAGCAAGAAGACACAGTCAAAGCTGCTCAGAATCCACAGCACCCGTCCACCAGACCCCGCCTGACTTGGGCCACTCACCGTTCACATACAGTGGCACCTCCCGCTCGGCTACTCCAATCCGAGGCACAATGGCGCGGCAAGTGTAGGTGCCGGCATCTGCCTGGGTCACAGACTTCAGCAGCAGCTGGTTGCTGTTACTCAGGACCTGGGCAGAGAGAGCAGCCTCGGGTGGGGAGCCAGGAGGTCGGGACCCCTAGGTCCATGAGACAGCCCCGCATCAGAGGCATTGGAAAGAAAGCAGGAAGGGCCACAAGTGAATTCCCAGCAGGGAAATGGAGTTCCCGAGTCCAGCCGATCCATCCCTGAACTCTAGAGAGACTGGCATTTAAACATGCTATGTCTCCAAGGTGGGTGGGGAGGGTGGGCCGCCAGAGAGGGCAGGTGATGGCTGCAGGAATTCCAAGAGGACACCATCTCTTCTCATGACCTGTTTTAGTGTTTTTATTTTTTGGTACCAGGGATCAAACTCACCACCTTGTGTTTGCCAGGCAAGCACTTATGCCGCTGGGCTAAACCCCCAGCCCTGTTCTAGTGTTTTGATTGCTAATTGACTAAGATGCTTTACTCTGCAATTCTTTCTCCAATTATTTTGGACCAAACTGTTGAATGTGGGTCTCTAGGGCTGTGGAATCCAGCCTGCTCCTCTCTGGTGAGCCATCCCTGCTTCCCCACCTTCCTATGCCTCATTAATTCGCCAGCTCTTCCTGCCACTGCAAAGCATTACCTCGAGCCTTCTTCCCTTGTCCCTCCTCACTGTTTCCCATGCACAGACTTCTGGCTTCTCCCTCCCATGGCCTCTAATTGGCCAGCTGTCCTGTGAGGATGGGTGGGCACTGACTGCAAGCACTGTCCTTCTCTCATCCCAGTAACCCAGTATTCTCCCTGCTTCAGCGTGAGAAACAACCCTAGCCCTCTCCTTGTCCCTACTGTAGCCCTATGGTGGTGCCCTTAATCCCAGCACTTGGGACAGGCAAGGAGAGTCTTACCATATTCGAGTCCTTTTTGGTCCAAGTAAGGGTCAGGGGGGGATTCCCAACCCAGACACAGGTGAGAGTCACATCAGAGCCAATGTCTGTGGTTGTGGGCTTGGGGTCCACTACAATCCGGGGGGCAACTGAGGTGGAGGGAAGCAATTGTTAGGTTCCTAAACTCACAAGGTCTCCCTCCCTCCCCCTGCCTGTTATCTCCTGTGTTCCCACCCCCATTGCATCCAGCGTCACCAAATCTCTCCCTCCAACCCTGCTTGTGCCCTCTTCCCCTGTGAGCAGGGGGCTTGCTACTCACAGTGAACATTTACTAAAGTGCTGACATTGGTGCTCCCCACTTTGTTGTGGACCTCACAAGACACAGGCTCCGTGAAGAAGGAATAATCGACATTCGTCTCATAGCGACTCTCATGGGCATCTTCAATCAAGAAACCCCCCTTGGCCCATCTGGGGGAGGAGACAGTAAAGAGGTGGGGTCAGGAGTGGAACCTTGTGCCCAAAGACAATGGCTTCCCCAGTGCCTGCCACTGCTGGCTCTTCAATACGGCTCCCAATCCCAGCCCCAGCCTCAGCCCTTTCACCTGTAGCCCAGGATCTCAGGGTTGGCTGTGGCCTGGCATGTGAAGACCACACGTTCGCCCTCCTGCACTGTCTGAGGCTCGATGGACAGGGTCACAGTAGGAGGATCTGCAAAGTAGGGGACAGGAGACCAGGGCTTTTTGGTCCCTCCCTAGCATGTACACTTACATCACTCTGGTGTGATCTGGGAATCTGGGTTACACAATTCACTATCCGCACCTTTTCCACAAGGAGCCTGTAGGGGGCTTGTTGGGGTGACTGAATGTTAAGAGATGGCACTCCTGAGACCAAGGGACAGTTATTTAACAGATGCAATGACCCACGGTGGCCACTAGGCGCCAGTGTGGGCTCACATGGCTCCCAAAAGGGACAAGGGGACAGGATGGGAGTATCCCAAGTTGCTGCCCACACTCCCCTGGTTTTGGAGGCAGAAGAAATTTTTGAGCACCTAGTAAGGAAACACACTATGCTCAATGCTCTTAGACTATAATTTATTTAATGGTCACAACCTGAGAAGCACTAAGAGGTCCACAGTGCCTTATCTGAAAGCATTAGGACTGGAAATGTTTTGAAATTTGAAATTTTTCGAATTTTAATAAAGACAATGCTATGCATGAGTTTATCCTGTAAGAAACCCTGCCTCCAGCAGCATCTGTGCAACACCCCACAAAGACACACATGAATGCATGTCCTGGAGACATGGCTGAAGTTAATAAGAGCCGGGGCTTCAGGTTTTTTTCACCTAATCACTTTAGTCTGGAATCGCGGATGTGGGGTTCTAGTCTGTATTTTATTTTCGACAGTTGAACATAATTGGAAACCGAGATTGAGAGAGATAATTCAATCACTGCCCCAAATTACACATCAGTTCAAATTCAGGGCTTGCCCGAGTGTACAGCCAATGCCCCTTCATCGTGTGTCCTTGGCATCCCTGGTTCAAACCAGGGGACTGAAGAGGCTGATGGGAGCATCCGTCCCAAGGCTGTGCTTCCCAGAGGCTGCCTACACCTCCTCCCCACCTCAGCATCCCAGCCTGCCCCTGCCGGGCCCCACTTACGGTGCACGTCCAGCTCAATGGAGGTCTCCTTGCCACTAGGGATGGCTTCGTTCATGCTGCGGCAGGTGAACACGCGCCCAATATCCAGGTCTGTGGGGTTAATGAGCAGCTGGCTGATGGTGGTCTCCCTTTTCCCATCCTTCAGCAGCTCCTAGAGTTCGACAAGAGTGGGAGACAAGGTCAGGCCGGTAGCCCTCTCCTTTGTTCTTGAAGGACCCAACTTCTCAGAGAGGGACTTCAAAGCTCAACTCTTGCCCTGCTCCTTCTTCTCCTGGGGCCTTTTTATTAAATGACTTTTTTTTTTGTTTTTATGAGACAAGGTCTCACTAAGTATTCAGGCTGGCTTTGAACTCACTACAAAGCCCAGGCTGCTCTCAAATTCATGGAAATCTTACTGCCTTATCCTCCTGAGTGCTGGGATTACAGGTGTGTGCTACCACCCTTGGCTTTGTGTTGTTGTTACTTTGTTTTGGTGGTGCTGGGGATTGAACTCAGGGCCTTGTGTATGTTAGACAAGTACTCTTACCACTGAGCTATATCCCCAGTCTCACACTTGACTTTTAATTGACTTTTTAAGAGCAATTTTAAATTTACAGAAAAACTGAACAGAAAGTACAGAGAGCTTCCATACCTACTCTTCCTATCTCATGGGTCCCCCAGTCACTAACACCTTGCATTACATCTTGTGATAAATGCATTAAAACAGATGGACCACTCTGGATGTACTGTTACTAACTGAAGCTCATAGCTTACGGGAGCATTCACTCTTGGTGCCATACAGTTTTCTCAGTGGGATGCAGTCTCATTCCTGGAATTCTCTGAGTCCAGTGCAAGTTCCTCCCCTGGAAAGACTTCCTGTGCCAACCCAGCCCCCAGAACTGCCTTGCATCCCAAACCTGTGCTAGTCTTGCTTGTGGGCAACACATATGAGAGTTCAGGGTTGTGTGTGACTCCTGGAGGGCAGGGCAGGGCCTCCTGTACCAAGACTCACACTGGAACAGTGACACCTAAACTGAGGTTCTCCAATATGATCACAGGACCTTTCAGGTTGTTTTCCATACTGCAGACTGCTTAGGAAAAATCGGGTTACAATCAGTCTGGTTCTGCACTTAGAGGGGTCTTGCATCTTTGGAGGACCACACAGAACCAGACAATGCTGTAACATAGCTACCTTATGCTGTGTCCCGGGGCTTTAGTCTTAAATGAATATGGAAATGAGGGATGGACAACTAATGCCATAACAGAGAGACTTGTTGGGCTGCCAAAACATTTGAAAACATGCAGTACAATGTAGTGATTTACTGCTGGAGAAAAGGGGTAGAACTGATCACTGGAGACAGTGTGTCGTTAGATCCAGGTACCAATCCCAGCTCTGCTGCCTGCCAGTGATGTGACGTTGGGGAAGGCACTCAACCTCTCTGACCACAGTTTCTGTTTTGTGTAGTGCAAGGAAGCCCCCACATTCTAGACTCTGGTGAGGATTAAAAGAGTAAGTCCATAAAGGATATCATTTGCAGAACCTGGTACACAGGAAGGGCTTGATCAACATCATTCTTTGCTTCTGCTCAGATACTGAGTGGTGTGGTGAACTTGGGAATCCACTTTTTTTTCTGGGCTATATTTCTCCCAACTGTATAATCGGAGCACTGGACCAGAGATGGCCTCTGCAGGGTCCATCTCTGGCCTCCTCAGCCTGTGGTCAGATCTCATGGGAAAGAAAAGATGGGCCCGGAGAAGAAGGCAGGGTCTCACCGTGCTAGCTATCGCGCCTTCCTGCTGTGTCCCATCCCGGAACCAGATGATGGTGGCGGCAGGCTTGGCGTTGAAGGCTCGGCAGGTAAGGTTGTGCGGTGTGCCTGCCTGCAGCAGAATCACTGGGCCACCGTCAATCTTGGTGTCCTCTGGGGGAACTGCCAGGGAGAGCAGGGCAGAGTCAGCTCAAGGTGCAGCTAACATTACCCTGGTGCCCAAACTCTGTGCTCACAGGGTCATCCCTTCATTTGTACTTTTCAGCAGGGTGATGCTACCTAACTTACAATGACTGCTCTGCTCCCACGCTGATTTCCCCTGGGGTGTGCAGCCCACAAGCTTTCCCAGCCTCCTGTCAGTTATTCTTTTCTAGCCTGCACCATTTCAGGTACAACACCCCCTGAACACAGCTCCAGGATAACACTAGAGCTTGAGCACAGCTCTTGCCTTCATGGAGCTTCTTACATACACCTCCTCCTATCTGTTTCTCTGCCCAGAGGCAGCCAGATGGACGGGCCACTCCAGCAACTTCCCTGAGTAGGCTGCTTTCCTTGTGGCTGTTAAGGCTGTGTCACTCCCTGCTCAAAAACCTTCAGTGGCTACCACTGCTTCTGTCATGACTTACAAGCCCCTGGGCCTTTTGTTCTGGAATCTTCAAGCCCCCTAGTTTCTCATCTCTTTGGAATTTTAGCTTATGCTTATTCTTCCCATGTGGCACATTCTTCTGCAAGGTGTTACCAACCTGTTAAATCTCAGTAGATGCAAAGGCTTCCCATGGCCCACCACTAGCCAGTCACTCACAGGTCTTAGCACCTCTGCCCTGAATTTGGGTTATTTGTGCTGGTTATCTGCTCATGCCTCAACCAAAACCACTACCCCTTGGAAGAGCAGGTATCCTGTCTCACTAATATATACATATTTCTTGGGGGAGAACCAGGGATCAAACTTACAACTTTGTGCTTGCCAGGCAGGCACTTATACCACTGAGCTAAATCGCTGGTCCCTGTCTCACTAATATTTACACACTGTCTCTGGGGCCTAGAATATGCCCAAAGCATGCTGAATGCTTCAGTAACTTCATGGACTGGATATTTTCTGCTGGCAAACAGAAGCTGTCTCTCTGCCATGTATCCCCACAAGCTTCTGGTGCTAACGTGCACCAGACTGTAGGCACTGTCAGGGCAGGGACTCTTATTTATTCTCCAATTCCCAGGGTCTAGCCAGAGCTTAGCTGATCACAGATCCTTGGGGGAATACTTGCTGAATTAAGCAGTGGGTAATGGGGGTGATAAAGGCCTAAGGATTTTGATTATTTAATCTTTTTGTTTGCCCCCTGTAGAAGGGTTCCTTTTGTTTCCTTCTAGGAGAGACGAGAAGGAGGTTTCCAGAGGGACCCCTGGGAGGCAAATGTGGGAGGACCATGGAGCTGAGGGGGGATAGCGCAGGGCTGCTCAGAGTTCGTGAAGGTCTTAGGACTGCGGTTTCGGTGGAAGGGAGCTGCTTACAGTCTACTCTGGCATTCTCTTAACTCATGCATGCCCAGTGGGGTAGCAGGGAGGCGAGTTCAGAATCGGACGGGCTCTCCTTTCAAGTCCTGGCACCTGCATCGTGATCTTGGGTGAGTCACCAAGTCTCAGTTTCTTCTTAGAGGCACAATAGTGGCCACTCCCTGGGCCCTTGTAAAGGACGGGAAAGTCCTGCATACATACTGGAAGGTGGATGGAGGCCCTTAGCTTTTACTCCCTGATGAAAACCAGCAGAGGCTCTGGCTCTGCCTGGCTAATGATCCTTTGACTCCCAGGTTCTTCTCCTCCTCGCTCCCTCCTGTATCAGGTTCCAGTGCCAGATGGGGGCAGGTTTGGGAATGGGGGCAGGAGTAGCCTGCTGTTCGTGCTGGAGAGTGAAGTCCTGGACAAGGAGAGACTTTGGCTTAGTTACAGAGGCGTCTGCTCTGAGAGCCTTTAGAAGGCATGGATTCATGTGTTTCTCACTTGTGACTTAAATCTCAAACGTGTATCCGTGTGCCCATGTGTCAATGGCCACGGTTTCCTTGTTTGTAAATTTTTGAAAATAACATTGACGCATACTCCCCAGAGCTCTTACTGGAGATGTGAAGCAAACAATGTACATTGTAACATGATCAACAATAATTTCTACCATTCATCGAATGCTTACCTTTCGTGTCAGCTCAAGCGCCTCGTGTATATGGTTTCATTTAATCTTTACCACAGAGTACGTGTCACTAATCCTTCCATGGAAATATCATTAACCCCAATTTACAGATAAGGAACTGAGGCTTGGAGACCAGAGGGCGCATTAAATGGCAGAGCTGGGCCGGGGACCAAGCCCGCCTGACCCCAAAGCCACACTCATCGCCACTGCACTCCAGCTGTTAGTGCTGTGAATAATGAGCCGTAGGCCTGCAGCTCTATATTATGTCTGGCTCTGCGTCTGCTGGGGAGGGAGGCAGGCCTCCTCTCAAGCCTGCTGCAAGGAAGAATGAAAGGGGCCATTCTGTGAAGGCAACCGGTCTGGGGAGGCTGCAGATGAGGGGAGTATCTGGGGCTGGCACGTGTGGGAAGGTGGATCCCAGACCTGGGGCACAGGCTGCTTGTTTCTGCCTTGTCCAGTGTGTAGGACCCCAGCTGCCATGAGCCGGGGCTGTGGTACAGGTGGCAGGTGTATGAAAGCTGGGGAGAGACACCAGGTGGGGAGTGAAGGGGAAGCACATCAGGACGCACCATCTGCCTCCCACTAGGCTCTTCTCTGCTCAAGTCAGGGAAGACCTCACCCTCAGCACTGACCAGATCTTCCCATAAGCCAGCCAGGTCCCCACACTGACCAGCAGGCTTTTTAATAAGCCACACCCCCATCGAGGTACCCACTGCTATTCTTGGCCAGGAAGACTTGATGGACCAGGCCAGGCCTAGGGGTGCCACTACAAACCCTTATTTGGGCTACACCTAGGCAGTTAGTTGAATTTCTTCATTCCTTCTCTCTATCTCTGTGTGAAGCAGGAAAGAGAAGGGAACAGTACAGGAGCCCCTCCCCAGGGCCCAAAATAGAGGCAATTAGGGAAGAAGGGAGTAAGGTTCCCTAAATCTCATGGCTTCCTTGGGATTCTTGGTCCAGTGTGGTAGAAGATGATGTCTTGGGCATTTCATGTTCATCTCTAATTCCTGCTCTCTAACCGAAATCCTGCCCCTAGCCATTGTTCCTACTTTCTTTTTCTGGTGAGGAAAAGTTTCCCAACAAGTGTGAATCCTAGTCCTTCCAAAGGACCAGCCACTGGGTCCCTGCAGTCCTCATTTTCTGACATCTCACACTCACCCAGACCTGCCCAGCTCACGACTCCCTGGGCAGACAGCAAGAGGTGGCAATGACTAAGAACAGGCTGGTGTCATTAAGCCATGTTAATGATGAAAAGCCTGTGCCCAGAGGCCGTGACCTCTGGTTCATGGTGCCAACATGGGCAAGGCGATATCAGAGCCCAGGTCTCTAGACTCCCAGCTGCACAGGATTCTTTCTACTACCTGAAATAAAGTGCCAATTTCCCACTCCACTTGCCCTAAAACAGTAAGTGTCCTGGTTCCAAGTTCATTCATCTCTGCTCCTCTCCCCTCCCCACTTCAATGATTTCATGTTAGAGGAAGGGGAATGAAGGCAACTGGAATGGATCAGAGGGAGGCAGGAAAGAGGAACAGAGTTAATGACCAAAGACAAGAGAGGGTCCCAGGCAGAAGTGCCGAAGTCACAGAGTACATGGGAGACCACTGAGTAGTGAAGGCAGAAAGTCTGAGGCCTACAGTCAAATGACAGAGAGGGTGAAACGTGTGTCGGAACTGACCCCATTCCAATCCTGTTTGCAGGACTTGCCTCAGTATGCAGATGGCCCTGGGGCTACCGTACAGGGACATATGCTGTGTTCCCACTGCATACAGCTGCTGTGAACAGGGCTTCCACAAGGTGAGCCCTCCTACAGCCGTAGCTGGCAGCAGACTCGCACGACCCCAAGCCCAGTCCTCCAGGCCCTCTCTGCCAGTCTGCACCCATTCCTTGAGGAGGCCCTGATGAGTCTGAGAGGAGAGATAGGCATAGAGGGTAGGAAAGGGGGCAGCCAGGGCAGGAAAAGTAAGGCTGGGCTGGGGTACGAGTGAGCAAAAGACTTGTTTTGGGGGCTCAGAGACAACAGAGAAGGGTAGAAAGGAGGAGAGAGATGCCCCTCACCCACAAGCCTGACTGCTGGGTGGCTGAGAAGGGAGGGCATTTTATCACCGCACACTGTCCTGCAGGAAGAACTATGTTTCCACACCATGTCCCAAGGTGCATCTGGGTCCAACATGGTCCGGGCAGAGGCTAGAGCAGAGGATGCCAGACCCACAAGGCCCCTCTGGGCCATCATTGGTTGTACACAGCCCCCTGGACTCTCCTTATCTGCACTTGGCTCTGGAAGATGTTTAAGGAAGGAATTGTTGGAGAAAATCACAGGAAGAGCAGGAATGGTGTGGAGAAGAGCAAGACAGGAAGTGAAGAGCAGGGAGACAGGGCTGGGGCAGGAGGGTGCATTGGGGGGGGGCAGTCATTACTGAGAACGGTGAGTTTGGCCTTCCGGGAGCGTAGGGCGGCCTCCGTAGCCTGGCACTCATAAGAAGCATCATCTGAGAGCTCAGCGTCCGTGATCTCCAGGTTGTACTGCCCAGCATCCGCAGAGCCCACGACCCTGTACCGTGGCCAGGCTGTAGGAAAGAGAAAGGGTGAGGCCCAGCCCTAGGATTACCCTATCCGCACCAATGATGTGTTCTCTCCCCACCTCTTGTCCTGAGGCAGAACCCACCCAATCCCAGGCCAGCAACCCTCTCTCCCATCTCCTGGGGCACTATGGCAAGTGGGATCCGAAGTGCCAGACAGCCTCAAATGTGTCAGGGCCCCCCACAGCGAGCCAGGGGGCCATAAAGCAGAGGGTTGGATGGGGGCAGGGAGACGAGCAGGAGCAGATGATATCTCCGGAGCTGTTTGCAGACAAATGTCTCTCATAATGATAGCAAAGGAAGAGGGGAAAAGGCAGCCAGCAGGGAGAAAAGCAGAGGGGGGAGCAGAAGAGTGTGGGCGAGAGGAAATATAGGGCAGCACGGCAGCCCGAGCTCACTGCGAGCACCTCTGTGGGGCTCACAAGGCAGAGGGTAGCCCAAGGCATGCTGAGGTCTCGCCCCACACGCCCTGGGAGGATGGACGAGGCAGGGGCCACCAGCTCTTGCCTAACCAAGGCTCTGGTGTCCTGCCCCCGGAGGTGGCCTGTGAGCTCTGCCCCTCCTTTTAGTCTCTCTGGTCCTCCTCCCTCCAAGCTCCTGCTGGCATCCTCACACACATCACCACCACCCGCTCCAGCCCGTGATCTCCCTCTGTCTAGCGGGTATTGATTCTTCTCACTCCCTATCTATTGATCTCTCTCTCTCCCAGTCTCTCTCTTTCCATCATCAATAGATCCATGCGAACCACCTCTTTCCTTTATACAGATGGCTACACACAGATCTCCCCTACGTGTACCAACAACTTGCAACCCATGTAAACAATCTCAACCCCCTCAAAAAGACTAAGGACAGAAATATACAGCACAACTGCCCCATATTTACACTGTCACAGGGCTTTACAGCTAACGATGTGTTTTCACAAAGCATCTTCTCTCATTTAGCGCAAAACCCACAGGGGCACTTTGAGGGCAGGCAGTCGTATGATTGTTATGCCTGTTCCCAAGATCAGAGAGGGGAAGTGGCTTTCCACAGGTCACTCAGCTGGTAGGTGACAGAGGCAGGCCTAGGGCTCAGGCTCTTACCGACCCCTGGGCATCCTTCCTGCAGGTCTCCGTACTTGCCTAGGAATACAGGGGTTGGCCTTTTGATCCTGAGTGAGTCATTAAGTTTTTCTTCAGCACTGACTATATAGCCCGTGCTTAATAAATGCTTGTTGAATAAATAAGTAAATAAAGCGTTCAGGCTGACATTAAAACAAGTTTTAGGCCTCTGAGTAAACATGGCCTGCTCAGAGGGGAGGAGAAGCTAGAGCAGAGCTGGCCTGCTTGCAGCACTCGAGGACCACAGAAGTACCTGAGGCTTCCACCTCCTACTGTCCTGACACCTCCTGCTTAACCTGTCTGCCTGGGCTGCTCTGCAGCTCTCACATGCAAGGGTCTCTTGGTTTCCCTCCAACTCCCAGGCCCTGCACTGCCTTTCATTATCTTGTCTACAGTGTGGGAAAAATGGAGATCAGGAGATGGAGAGGGGAGGCCGAGTGTGGTAAGGAAAGCCAGGAATGGTGAGTGTTGGTGGGGAGTGAGAAATGACGGTGAAAATGTCACCAACTGGGTTCAGGGCAGCAACTCACCTTTGAGGCCCTGTCCCATGCCCAGCGCCAGCCCATCCTTGGTCCATTGCACGATGCCAGAATAATTGAGGAGCACGCAGGGGAGCACGGCCCGCTGTCCGGCCACCACAGTCTGGTCAGCTGGCTCCTGGCTGAAGCGGGTCTGGGTCCCTGGCAAAACCCAAGTGGTCACTGGGTAAGGAGGCAACTGAGGAGAGAGGCTCTGCAGAGGTCACCCTATTCCAGCTCCCATTCCCCCCCTGCAATAAGGAGACAGTCTCGATCTCTGCCCCACTTCAACTGCAACGCCTTCTCTCCAAGCTGCCACGGGCTTGCCTTCATTTCCTTCTCCCCCCATAGCCCACAGGAGTGGGTATCAGGCACTGAAGTGCTCAGCAATCACAGCAATGGTGCAGTGTTACATAAAGGCCTCGGGGATGGGTCTGGCCCAACCACCTCATTTTGTGGAGGAAGGCACTAGGGTCTTGGGAGAAGAAAGACCTACCCAAGGGCACCCAGTGAATTAACAGTAGAGCTGGATTTATAGCGGGAGCCCCTGCCTGCCAGGGCCTGGGCTATTCCTCTGTGAACCTACTGCCTGCCTCCCTTTGCACCCAGACTCACAGGTGCTGTCGTCAGGACAAAGGCTTCCGGTGATGTCACAGCCTGACCCATCCTTGGGACTCAGGCCCAGACACATCCATGCATCACCCCATGAGTGACAAGTATGTGACTACACCAGGTACCATTTTCCCCCACAGATGCCGTCTTCAAGAGCAGAGGGATAGATTCCGTGGGTCAGGCATGGCTTCACAGCCATGTGTATACAGACCCAAAACAAAGTGGCTCAGACCTACTTCTTGGCACACTGGCCCTGTGCCACACTTCCTCCTTGACCGAGAGGGTACACACAGACACACCTGCACACACTCAGCCTCCCACACTGTGGGAGCCAAGAGGCCGTGTGACTTTTTTCTACTCTCCCTCCGGCTGCAGGAGCTACACATGGCTGCCCGGCTGGCAGCTCGGCCGGGAGCATTTGATTAGAGAACTGCAGAGTAATTGCCTTTAATTGTGGAGCCTAAATGGAGCAGGGAATTGGATTGCGGGTTTCTTCTCCCCCACTGCTCCCACCCACCAGCTCACTCCATCACTGGCCACTGTGCTGGGGGAAAGGAGGGGGAGGAGAGCAGAGGGGAGGGGACACCTCCTGCACACCCAGGTAACCAGAACCAGTTCTTTTCAGACCTCAGCAGCTTCCTCCACCACCACCCCCCCGCCCCACCGCCAGCACAAAGCCCTCACAGAGACCACAATCCATCCCCAAATCCTGCCCTTTCCAAATCCAGATTCTCAAAATTCTCTGATCCACTATGGCTCTTGTGTGCAATGAATATAACATCCCTCACCATTTCTAAACCTTCCCCTAAACCACAGTAGAGGTAACAATTCTACCCATCCTCCATGTCCCTCAAGGCTCAGGCTCGAACCCAGAGTCTTGTGAGTACTCAGCAAGTGTTCTACCACTCTGCTATACCCCAGCACCAGGATCTTAGTCTTATCTTCTCCCTTATTTTCCTCCAGTCCCATTCTCCCTTTTTTCAAATCTGTCCCATCTTGCTGTCTTCTAAGAATCCCTCCTAAACTGATGTCTTTGCTCTTTGAACACCAAGCATGGCTTGTCCATCGCTCAGCCCTACTGTCTGAGCTTTATCTACAGGATTTCCTATCTCATGCTATCAGGGCTTAGGCCTGTGCATTTGTTAGGAGATCGAGGGCAGCTGGTGGGTGTGGGTGGTTGTGGTGTTTCTCTTATCTGTTCTACCAGAATGAGAACCTCTACCCCAAGGTAGTGAGCCATGCTGTCTTCTTCCTCTCAGTGTCTTCAAATATCGGACATCTGTCCTCAATGGCTGTGGGCTGAGAAGCAGGTGGAGGTGGTCAGGCAGGACTGGCCTGATAGCCAGAATATGATACAATATAAAGCAGCTTCTTTACTGTTGGTTAAGTGCACCGATTGAGCTCTTTAGGTCTGCAGGATCCAAAGAAAGGGGGGACTTTTCCCACACCTGAGAGAGACTTCCCAGCACTGCTGGCCTGACCTTGCCTGCACATCTCTTAAGGAAAGGATAAGGCTCGCCCACATTTCAAGGGATGAGGGTGGCAGGTGCCGAGATCCTGCAGGAAGGGTGGGTCAGGTGAGCAGCCAGCATTATTAATTCAAGCATTGCCCTCATTATTATTCAAATTTATTCATATCCTTGCGCATTTCTCCAGTGCAGCTACATGCTGCAAACTCTCCACACTCACGTTTCTCCTTCCCACAGACCCTGGGGCCCAAGTCAAGGGCTTAAGAGTGGGGTGACCAGTAAGCCCTGGCTCAGAAACACAATTTATATTCACAGCTTTCCTGCATGGAGCCTGGACACCCTGGTGTCTTGCTGAAGTCTCCAGAGGATGGGGAGCAGCTGCCTCTTTGTCCTCTAGGTGGTAGTTGAACCTGCAGCAGAAGTCAGGAGAGCAGCAATTTCTCTAGGATGAGAAGCACGTAACCTTGGGCTTGTCACTGTCTGTCAAGCCTACATTTGCACACCTGTACACTGGCAGGTCTAGAACAAGTTACAAACACACTACCAGGAACTGAGGTGTAGGGCATAGACTGAGGCTTACATCATATCTCTGCAGCTTCCTAACCAAGTAACTTTGGTCTAGTTACTCTCTAAGCTTCCTTTTCTTTTGTGGTAAATTGTGGAATGATAATGTCCACCTCTAAGGCTGTGAAAGACAAACACACTGCAGTACTCTCCATGCCTGAAACAGTCTCTTGCACATACCCACTAAATGTCAGCTATGAGTACTTAGACAACTAGAATTAGACAACTGGAAGGACTGTGTGAGAATAAACAAGAAGGTGATAAGGAAGGTGGTATCTGTCTTTCTGGGGATTTCAAGGTAAAATCTACTTTTAAGAGAAGGGAAATGGAAGCAATGATGACCCAGCAGAGTACGGAGAGGAGGAAAATGAGTTGTCACAAAATTTAACTCCAGAAGGCCACTGAGATTCTGAGTATGAAAGTCACAAGCAACACTCCTGGTCCCAAAATAGCCCCACAACCAGGACAGCACTGGAGATGGAATCCAGAGGCCCCAGGTGGTGCCTGATTGGCTCAAGATTGGGGAAGGCCCCCAGTCTCCTCTCCTCTCACCAAGTCCTGTTCTCTTTCTGCTGTGCGTACCAGGCTTCTGTAACCTTCATGCCCCTGTGCAAGCTTTGGTGAGGGGCACTCTTCCCTTCTGCTCCCTTGGGATCAAACAGACGCCTCTTCTGGGAAGCCCTCCGTGACTTGCCTGATTCCCTCCAAACCTGACATTTTCACTTCTCATTTCTGCTAAGTAGGAAATGTTAGGCACTAGCCACCCTCCTCTCTTGGCCCAGGGGCAACTTCTTGACTTCTAGATTACATCCTTCAGGGCTCGGCTGCCAGTGTTCCAAATAAGTCTGTTGGTTACTAAAGCCCAAGTGAGCAAATGCCCCATTCAGTAGTCCTGCCTGGTGACAAAACCTGTACCAGGAAAAAGAGGCAGCATGCCCCACACATACACATGCCAAGGCAGGACCCAGCAGGGGGTGAGGGGTGAGGGGCTTCCCACAGAAGGCCAGGACTTAGAGGTAAAAGAACTCGGAGTCAATCTTTAGATGCTCCTTGATGAAGGGGGTACAGTGCAGAGTTGGGAACGGCAAGAGCTAGAGTCCAGAAGGCACTGCTGTGAGGAGGAGGACAGGTAACTGGGAGACTGCAGAGGATACCTGGACAGTGGGCAGTGGCTGCCAGTTTCAGGGTGCAGCCGCCTGTTAACAGGAGGCGCAGGTGCCCTGGTGGTTTTAGACAAAGAGGAAGGACAAAGTATTCATATGTCCTTGAGTGTCATAAAGGTGCCAAGAACTCAGAACACAGGACCCACCAAGTGGTATCTATGCACAGCTCTGAGGTTCCCAGTGTCCAGCCTCCCACTGTCACTGCCACAGCAAAGTCAGCCTCAATAGTGAGTGAAATCCCAGTCCCCTCCCTGCACCCACTTCCAGGAAGCTGAACCTGAGTCAAACAGCAAAATAAGGAATGTGTGGCTGCAGGGTAGGGAAGGTGGGGGGCCAAGCAGCAAGGGCCTGACCACAGACAGAAAGTGAAAATACACCAGCTGCCTGTTGTAGCATCAACTCGACCCGCTGCCTCACCTCAGGGCCCAGCACGCTTCTGTGGGTTTATTTAAGTGACTTCCCACCTGCTTTGATCTCCCTCCCTCCTGGCCTTAGATACGATCACACATGGGGTGAACATTAAGCAGCTGAATGTTAGGGCAGGCAGAGAAACACTGGGTTGTACACATGTCACACAGGATCTTGGATACACACACACACACACACACACACACACACACACACACACGTACGCGCGCACACACACACACCCTTGCAGGTGTCCCATAGGGGAGAGGTACAAGCGATGCTGAGAAGCAGAGACAAAGACAGACACCCACACAGGCAGTGGGAGGGCACAAGAAGGAGCGGAGTTCTTGGTTAGAAAGGCACAAGTTTATCCCAGGGTCAAGGAAAGGCTATGTGACCTAATAAAAACCCAGCCCAGGGCAGAAGGACTGGGCTAGGGATATGGCTCAGGGTGCGGGTCTTGCCTTTCATACACAAGGCCCTGAGTTTGATCTCTAGCATCATGGGGATCCGGGGAGAGGACAGCAAGAGATAAAGACCAAGAAAGGGTGGGCAGGGAGATGTGTGGACCACTGGGGAGAGATTTCCATCCCAGGGATGCATGGAGCACCCACCCTATGACACTTGGGTACAGGGGCTCTCTGTCTTTTCCAGCAGAACAGGAGATTCCTGGAGGATTGGCCAGGGCTCAAAGGCTGGAGAAGAGCTGAACAAAGTCAGTAAGGCAGAGGAGGTCAGGACCAGATAGCTAATGGAGCAAGAACCAATTGGGAGGACAGTGGGGGATTCAAAGAGATCACGGTTCTTGTCAAAGTTGAGAACAGGTGGGAACTGCAGAACCTGGACCTCCCCCAGCTCCCCTTCCCTTCAGATCCTCATCCCCTAACACAAAGCTCCCAGCCTCTGTTTTGGAATGCTTCTTTCCCTTATTCTCCCACTGCACTGT